CAGCCAGTTAAGCCTCTGCTTGCTCTGCTTTTGGTTCAGCTCCCTGAAATGCATCTGGGAAAGCATGGGAAGATGGCCCCAGGACTAGGGCCTCTGAATCCATATGTGAGACCTGGACAGAGCAACTCTGTCATTTGTGGCCATTTGAGGAGTGAACCAGCCAATGGAAGGTCTCTCTCTTTCCCTCTCTCTCTCTCTCTGTCTCTCTGCCTGTCAAATAAATAAATCAGTCTTTTAAATAGGATCATTATTAAGCCAGCGCCGTAGCTCACTTGGCTAATCCTCCGCCTGTGGCACCGGCACCCCAGGTTCTAGTCCCGGTTGGGGCGCTGGGTACTAGTCCCAGTCGCTCCTCTTCCAGTCCAGCTCTCTGCTTTGGCCCAGGAAGGCAGTGAAGAATGGCCCAAGTGCTTGGGTCCCTGCACCCGCATGGGAGAGCGGGAGGAAGCATCCGGCTCCTGGCTTCGGATCCGCGCAGTGCCGGCCATAGTGGCTATTAGGGGAGTGAACCAACAGAAGGAAGACCTTTCCCTCTGTCTCTCTCTCTCACTGTCTATAACTCTATCTGTCCAAAATAAATAAATAAATAAAAGAATGTAATCACATTCAAATTTCTTGACTTTTCCCACTATGTCTTCTCTGCATGTTCTCTTTTTGAATTAAAAAAAAAAATGGTTTTTTATACGAAGGTCAGAAAGAGAAACAAGAAGGACAGATAGATACAGAGAGATCTTCTATCCACTGGTTCACTCTCCCAGTGCTAGTGCTGGGTCAGGCTGAAGCCAGGAGCCTGGTCTCCCATGTGGGTGGCAAGGACCCAACTATGTGAGCTATCCCCTGCAGTCTCTCAGGGTCTACAAGAGCAGGAAGCTGGAACTGCAAGTGGAGCTGGGACTCAAACCTAGGTACTCTGATATGGTATTCAGGCATTCCAAGAAGCATCTTATCTGCTACACCAAATGTGCACCCCTGCCTGGTTGTTTTTTGGTGTCAGGATCCAGTCAGGTCATAATTTATGAGGTAGTGATACAGGTTGGAACTTTAGACTCAGCTATGTTCTGCATTGTTTAATACAGTGCAGGTTTGGTTGCTTTAACAAATGCCCAGCTTAATGATGGCCTAAATAAGGAAGGTGTTTGCTTCTGTCATATGTGACCACCTGGAGATAATGTAGTCCGGAGGAGGTGGTGAGACTGTTGTCCCAATATGTGGCTTCCACCTCTGAAGACAGGACAAGCTGCTCCAGCTCCCCCATCGCGCCGGCTCGAAGTGGGAGGATGTACTCCGTCCTTTGCAAAGCATGTTTGGAAGTTGTATGTATAACCTCTGCTCCTGAACAATGACAAGAATAGAATCATATGTTGTGTTGGCAATAGAGGACTGCCAATGTAGGATTTATTTTGAATAGCTGTGTATCTAGTGATGATTCATGGTTCTGGCGCTAAAGCCGAATGTCTATTGGAGGAAACAGTATCTCCACACACAAGTTCTTTTTGCAAATGACTGAGCTATACCAACCTATATTAAATCCACCTAATGAATCCTAATAACTCCTATCCTTGCTGCTATTCTAAGCCCAGACTGTTCTCTTAAAAATTATTTGATAATATATAATTATATTCTCAGAATTGTATCTATGAACTACATTGAATCTGTTCTCTTTTTATTAATATCACATTAACATGAGAATTGAGAATTGTGTTACAGTAATTATCATGCACTTGCTATGACCCTGAGAAACTAATGTGTTAATAAATTCCTGAAAAAATGATTTGATACATATTTTAAAGGTCTTCTGTTTTTGTCCTTTTTGTTAGGATGTTAACTGTCACTTCTCATAATTTCCCAGTGTCTTCACCCCTTTTCTAATTTTGCTACTTTTTCTTCTCTGGGTTGGGAAGCAGGTGATAAAAATCTTTATTTTAATGCCATAATTTATGACATGCCTTACATGCTATACAGTGGTAGGTACTTTGACATCTTGTCTCTAAGTTTAGAATTCTCCCTCCTTCCAAGTTTATGTACAACTGTTAAATATAAATTATATATATTCATTGTGTACAGTCTGATACATGTATGCTCTGTGAAATTGTTGTTAGAAATAAATTAAGGCCAGCGCTGTGGCTCAGGAGGCTGATCCTCCACCTGTGGCGCCGGCACTCCAGGCTCTAGTCCCTGTTAGGATACCAGTTCTGTCCCGGTTGCTCCTCTTCCAGTCCAGCTCTCTGCTGTGGCCCGGGAGTGCAGTGGAGGATGGCCCAAGTGCTTGGGCCCTGTACCCGCATGGGAGCCCAAGAGGAGGCACCTGGCTCCTGGCTTCGGATCAGCACAGCGCGCTGGCCGTGGTGGCCATTTGGGGGGGTGGGGTGAACCAATGGAAGGAAGACCTTTCTCTCTGTCTCTCTCTCTCACTAACTCTGCCTGTCAAAAAAAAAAAATAATAATAAATTAAGATATCCATCACCTCACATTGTCTTCTTTTTGTGTTGGGAACACATAAGATCTACCCTCTTAGAAAATTTCAAATATATAATACATTATTATTTGCTGTAGTCTCCATGCTGTACATTAGTTCTCTAGAAGTTGCTCACCTTAGAAGTGCAGATTTGTATCCTTGGACCATTTTGTCTCCATCTTCCCACCCTCTGACTCCTGGCAAGCACCCTCCTACTCTGTTTCAATGAATTTGGCTTTTTTAGATGCCAGATATAAGTGAGATCATGTGGTATTTGTCTTTCTGTATCTGGCTTATTTCATTTTGCATGATGTCCTCTAGGCTTAGCCATGTTGTTGCAAATGGCAGATTTTCCTTCTCTTTTCCTAACATATCTGAGGCGATACTTCATTTTGGTTTTGATTTGCATTTGCCCACTGATTAGTGTTGTTGAACACCTTTCGTATTTCTGTTGGCGATTTGTATGTCTTTTTTGGAAAAATGTCTATTTCAGTCTTTTGCCCATTTTTAAATTGGGTTATTTGTTTTTTTGCTATTGAGTTATATGACTTCCTTATATATTTTAGCAATTAATCCCTTATTAGATATATGGTTTGCAAATATTTCCCCCATTCCATATGTTGCCTTTTAACTTTGTTGATTATTTCCTTTGCTGTGCAGAATTATTTAAGTTTGATGTAGTCCCTCTTGTCTATTTTTGCTTTTGTTTCCTGTGCTTTTGGTATCCTATCCAAAAAAATCATTGCCAAGAACAATGTCATGGAGTGTTCCCCCTATGTTTTCTTCTAGAAGTTTTATAGTTTTAGGTCTTATGTTTAAGTCTTTAATCCACTTTGAGTTGATTTTTGTGTATGGTGTCAGATAAGAATCCAATTTCATTCTTTTTTTTTGCGTGGGATATCCAATTTTTCTAACACTTTATTGGAGAGACTATTCTTTCGTCACTGCATTCTTGGAGCCTTTGTTGAAGATTAGTTGATAACTTTGGCGTTTTTATGCAAGTATTCTCATCTTACAAATGAGTTGGCTGAAGCTCCAGGAATATTAGTAACTTGTTTATAAAAACTGCAGTTGTTAGAATTGTTAGAACCATAATTAAAAAAATAATTGATGCTCCGAGTGATCTGGAAATCTTCCCTGTGAAAAGTTTGCGTGATTTTTTTATTACAAAGTCCTATTGTAATTGAAGTATCTATTTCAACTGCATAGAGGCATTTTTATGCTTATTTGTTTTTGTTGATTATAGACAGATGAGACTGCCAAATGGCTAAATAAAGCATTCTTTGTTTGAATGTGTCTGTGAGTACATGTGTACAGCATGCACCCACACAGATAACATCTGTGTGAATCCACACCTTTTTTATTTTTATTATTTTTTAAAAAGATTTATTTATTTATTTGAAAGAGATACAGAGAGGACAGAGAGAGGGAGGGGGGGGGGGGAAGAAGGGAGGGAGGGAAGGAGAGAGCGAGAGCGAGAGAGAGAGAGAGAGAGAGAGAGGAAGAGAGGATCTTCTATCCACTGGTTCTCTCCCTCAGATGGCTGGCGCTGGGCCGATATGAAGCCAGGAGCTAAGAGCTTCTTCCAGGTCTCCCCATGGGTGCAGGGGCCCAAGCACTTAGGCCATCTTCTGCTACTTTCTCAGGTACTTTAGCAGGGAGCTGGATTGGAAGTGGAGCAGCTGGGTCTCCGATTGGCACCCATTTGGGATGCTGGCACCGAAGGCAACAGCTTTACCTGTTACACCACAGCGCCGGCCCCTGGGTTGTTTTCTTTTTAAGAAAACTACTTTGGCATTACAAGGGTACTTTCAAAAAGTTCATAGCAAAATGGAACTCAAAGGTCAGTTTATTTTGGCAAAAGAATGTATACATGGTATTTTTATAGGATGCATTTTCCATGAACTTATTGAAACCCCCCCATAAGCATGGATTTCAAGATTTTTTTTGCACCAAAATAAACATCTTTTAATGTTGTTTTACTATGAAATTGTTGAAATATTCTTGTTTGTTTTATTTTTCAAAATAATTTTATTTATTTTAATTTTATTTGGAGGACAGAGAGAGAGAGAGAGATCCTCAGTTCACTAGTTCATTATCCAAAGGACCTCAACAGCTGAGGTTGGGCCAGGCCAAAGCCAGGAGCTGGGAACTCTATTCAGGTCTCTGTACTGATGCGGGGACTCAAGTACTTGAACCATTACCTGTTGCTTCTCGGGGTGCACATGAGCAGGAAGCTGTGGTGGAAGTGGAATGTCTGGGACTCGAATCAGGCACCGTGATAATATGGGACGCAGGTGCTCAAGTGGAGGCTTAACCAGCTGCACCACAACACCTGCCTCTGAATAATTTAAAAATTGTAAAATGTATGTATACTGATATCAGTAACCTGAAAGCTTCATTGTTTTGTAATTTAAACTTTAAGCTATTGGCTATGTAGTGGAGATAAATTAACTGTGACATGTTTGTTGTGGATAGTGATAAATTAAAAGATTATATTTGTAAAAGAAAAGGTCATCTTGTTTCCTTTTTTTTTATCCTGTAGGTCGAGACTTAATATGTATCCAGTCGATGGATGGGATGCTGATGGTGTTTGAGCAGGAAAGCTACGCTTTTGGGAGATTTCTCCCTGGTTCCCTTCTTCCTGGCCCTCTTGCTTACAGTTCTCGTACAGATTCCTTCATTACTGTCTCTTCCTGCCGGCAAGTGGAGAGTTACAAGTAAGTCTGAAAGTTGCATCTTTGAAATCAAGATTTTTTTGGTGTGTTTGCTTCTTGTTAATTTTTTTTTTTTACCACAAAGAGCTTCAATATTATTAATGAAAAAGAGATTTCTGTGATAAAATGTAATTGTGATATTTAGACTGTTCTTTTTGTATCGGAAAGTATTTGAAAGGAAGTATAGAACAGTGATTTGAGAAAAGGTGTTTAGAGGGGATGGATCTGGGAGGAATTCTTATTTTGCTAAGTACAACTTTTTGATGGTTAGTGTCCTTATCGAGACTCTAAAGGAGATAGTTGTAAGTTTATTATAAAGATTATATGTGAGGCTGGTGCTGTCGTGCAGTAGGTCTAGCCTCTGCCTGTGGTGCCAGCATCCCATATGGGCGCCAGTTCATGCCCCAGCTGCTCCTCTTCTGATCCAGCTCTCTGCTGTGCCTGGGAAAGCAGTAGAAGATGGCCCAAGTGCTTGGCCCCTGCACCTGCATGGGAGACCCAGAAGAAGCTCCTGGCTCCTGGCTTCTCGTTGGCCTCGCTTTTACTGTTGTGGCCATTTGGGGAGTGAACCAGCAGATGGAGACCTTTCTCTATGTCTCTCCTTCTCACTGTCTCTAGCTCTACCGCTCAAATAAATGAATGAAATATAAAAAAATTAAATTTATTCCAAATTGCCACCCCACAGAAAATACTCAATAAGTTATTGTGACTGTTCTGTGATAGAAATAATAAAAGGGAGGGCCGGCGCCGTGGCTCACTAGGCTAATCCTCCGCCTAGCGGCGCCGGCACACCGGGTTTTAGTCCTGGTCGGGGCGCCGGATTCTGTCCCGGTTGCCCCTCTTCCAGGCCAGCCCTCTGCTGTGGCCAGGGAGTGCAGTGGAGGATGGCCCAGGTGCTTGGGCCCTACACCCCATGGGAGACCAGGAAAAGCACCTGGCTCCTGGCTCCTGCCATCGGATCAGCGCGGTGCGCCGGCCGCAGCGCTCCGGCCGCGGCGGCCATTGGAGGGTGAACCAACGGCAAAAGGAAGACCTTTCTCTCTGTCTCTCTCTCTCACTGTCCACTCTGCCTGTCAAAAAACAAAACAAAACAAAACAAAAAAAAAGAAATAATAAAAGATGTGTTGAGTTAAAAAAAAGCCAAATCCAAAGTTCATGTGTGGAACAATTTTTTAAGAAAACAGAATACTTGTGAGATAGGAAAAATACTGAGAAGAAATACAAATGATGTTAGGAATGTGAGTCATTTTTTAAAAAATAATTCAAGTGGAGGTAAAGGATGACACTGAGTATGAAAACAGTTTATACTTTGCGCTGGAAATTTTTATTGATCTTGGTGAATTGTTTTTGAGAGAGACTGTTTTCTCCTTCACCAGCTGAATTTCAATAAGTTAAGGTTTAGAGTTTCTGGAGAGTGCATTTTTTGCTGGCAGAGAGAATTGGGAAAAGAAAGTAGAAATCCATGCTGAGAAAAGAAATGGACTTGCAGGGTTTCACTATCTTTCGTAATTTTATTGTTATCTTAACTGATGGCAACATTCAAAACTTAAAACATCTAAACAACACATCATTGTAGCTTTTTAGGGCTATTTTTGGTTGCATGAGTTTTCCTAAGACAGGAAGCAAACATAAATTTATCAGGCAACAGCTGCAAATTTTTGTCTTCAGGTTTTAATATTGTATATATAGCAAGGTAATGCAGTTTTCCCTTCTAAGTGGCAATCTCCCTTTGGTGAATGATTGTCAAGGCAAGAAGGGTTCAAAAGTCTGAAAAATCAGCAAATGCTTGTGGCTGAGCAGAAGTTCACTGATGGAGGGTAGTGTTTCATCATGTCATGTTCCTTCTGTAACGCCTATGGCCCTTATCCAGAGAAGATGAATGAATTGTGGCATGGCTACTGGTAATAAATAAAATATTATACTTGTTTTGAGAAGTTGAGGAAAATATCTTTATAATTTACTCAAACGTGCCAAAGCTTAAGCAATATTGAGGAGATCTGCTTTTCAGCTTTCAACCGAGTTCTGTGTCTCGCCCTTGGCCAAGTAGTGCTTGTCTGGGGTCACAATACAAAGATTTGAATGCTCCATTACTCACACTTTGAAATATGCACATTGGAATTAATTTGGTAATAACTCCAGGAGTGCGTGGATGAGGAAGCAGTGTGTAGGTTTCCTTATTGTGTGAGTTGAATCTCACAGAAGTCTACATGGTTGTTTAGTGTGGTAATTCTCAAACATACCAATCTATTAAATTCATCTCCATCTAGGACTGAAAAAAGTACACTTTATCCATTACGTAGCTCTTTTTTTTTTTTTTAATCTTTTATTTAATGAATATAAATTTCCAAAGTACGACTCATGTGTTACAATGGCTTCCCCCCCCATACCGTCCCTCCCACCCACAACCCTCCCCTTTCCCACTCCCTCTCCCCTTCCATTCACATCAAGATTCATTTTCGATTATCTTAATATACAGAAGATCAGCTTAGTATACCTTAAGTAAGTATTTCAACAGTTTGCTCCCACACAAAAACATAAAGTGAAAAATAATAGATGATTTTTTTTAAATGATGATGAAATCAGATCAGACCTATTGTCATGTTTAATCCCAGTGAGAGTCAAGTTGGGAATTGATAATTTCTTTCTTTTTTTTTTTTTTTTTTACAGAAGATCAGTTTAGTGTACATTAAGTAAAGATTTCAGTCGTTTGCACCCCCATAGAAACACGTAGCTCTTTTATGGTAAAAATGTATGAGATATCTGATTATTGTGAAATGATGACAATTGAGAGAGTTCATAACATTAAGCTGTGTGTTACGCTGCCAAATTTAATAGGTTAAATTAAATGATAATCATGGATGCAATTTAGGTTGATAGAAAGCATGAAAACTATTTGGTTTCTTTTGAGATTTCATTAAACCTATCTATATAATTAGTCAACAGAATGTAATCAGCTAATAGTATTGGCTTTTCAGACATAATTTATCTTTAATTTTGTTGTAGATATTTAATTACTTAGTTATTTTGAAACAGGAGCTAGCAAAGGCTGGTCTCATTCTTTAGTGTGCTAAGACTCTGCTGGGAAACCTGTTATAAAACACAGATTTACGGATTCCTGGTCCCCTCCTTTCAGATTTTGATTTACAGGTTTGGGGATAACCCAGGAATCATTGTTGTAGATATAATATAATCTAGGTGATTCTAATGCAGGGACACACTTTGAGCTTTGCTTTCCGTTGGAGTTGGGAGAATTGTTTGCTCTTTTTTTGGGAACAAGGGAAAGCTATTTGGTACCACTGTTCCCTTGGCCATGTGTGCACCAACTTTGGATAACCTTTTCTTCTTTTTTTACTTTCTTGGCCTGTCACAACAGTTTAGTCACTAAATCCTGCCTTTTCTACTCTTAATTCTCTTATTCAGTTCTTGCTTCTAATTTCCGTTGGTTTGGGCCTTCATCTTTTTACTTAGACTTCTGTGTTTTTCTTTTTCTTTTTTTTTTTTTACCTCTAATGTAGGCAGTGATGCTCCTTCTATAGCTGCCCTTTTAAAACACCTGTCTAATCCAGTATAATTTTCATTTCCCATTAGAAAACGTGAACCTTCTTTCACAGTTGGCCCTTCATATCTGTGGGTTCCATATCCATGGATTATTCTGCCTGTAGATGGAAAATATTTGAAAAAAAATTGCATGTGTACTGAACACATGTGGACTTTTTTCTTGTCATTATCCCCTAAGCAATTATTTACATAGTTTTAGATATTATTTTTTAGGTTTACTTTCTTTTTAAATTTTATTTATTTATTTAAAGATTTATTTATTCATTTGAAAGTCAGAGTTACACAGAGAGAGAAGGAGAGGCAGAGAGAGAGAGGTCTTCCATCACTGGTTTACTCCCCAGTTGGCCTCAACAGCCAGAGCTGCACTGATCTGAAGCCAGGAGCCAGAAGCTTCTTCTGGGTCTCCCATGTGGGTGCAGGAGCACAGGTACTTGGGCCATCTTCTACTGCTTTTCCAGGCCGTAGCAGAGAACTGGATCAGAAGTGTAACAGCCAGATCTTGAACTGGAGCCCAAATGGGATGCACTGCAGGGGGTGGCTTTACCTGCTAAGCCAAAGCACCAGCCCCAATTAATTTAAGGAAAACAAATTTCATATTTACAACTTTAGGAATATAATTATTCTTCCCACCATACCACCCCTCCCACCCGCACTCTCACCTCTCCTCTACCTCCCTCTCCCATTCCCAGTGCATTCTTCATTAAGATTCATTTTCAATTAACCTTGTACACAGAAGACCAACTCTATACCAAGTAAAGATTTCAAAAATTTGCACATACACATACACACACACACAAACTGAGGATAAATATCACATTTAACTCTCATAATACAACTCATTGAGGACAGAGGCCCTACATGGAGACTTAGTACACAGTGACTCCTGTTGTTAATTTTACAATTAACATTCTTATGTATGATGTCAGTGACCACCCAAGGTTCTTGATATGAGAAGCCTAGACTATGGAAGCCTTTTATTTTTTTAAAGATTTATTTATTTTTTACTTAAGAGTCAGAGTTACACAGAGAGAGGAGAGGCAGAGAGAGAGAGAGAGAGGTCTTCCATCCGATGGTTCACTCCCCAACTGGCCGTAACGGCTGGAACTGCGCTGATCTGAAGCCAGGATCCAGGAGCTTCTTCCGGGTCTCCCACGCGATTGCAGGGGTCCAAGGACTTGGGCCATCCTCTACTGCTATCCCAGGCCATAGCAGAAAGCTGGATTGGAAGTGGAGCAGCTGGGACTCGAACTGGCACCCATTTGGGATACCGGTGCTTACAGCCCAAGACGTTAATCTGCTGTGCCACAGTGCCAGCTATGGAAGCCTTTTGAATCCACAGAGTCCATCACTATTTAGACAAGGCGATTAGCAAAGTGGAAGTTCCTCCCTTCAGAGAAAAGTACATCCTTCTTTGATGGCCACTTCTTTCAATTGGGATCTCATTCATAGAGATCCTTTATGTGGAATATATATATATATATATATATATATATTTTTTTTTTTTTGGCCACAGTGTCTTGGCTTTCCATGCCTGAAATGCTGTGACTGGCTTCTCAGCCAGACCAGGAAGCCTTAGGGCTGATTCTGAGGTCAGAGTGGTACTTAAAGCAATTGTCATTCTATGAGTCTCCTGTGTAGAATGCTTCCCGTTGGAACATTCTCTACTTTTTAATCCTATTTCCTTTTTTTTGGACAGGCAGAGTGGACAGTGAGAGAGAGAGAGAGACAGAGAGAAAGGTCTTACTTTTCCATTGGTTCACCTTTCAATGGCCGCTGTGGCCGGCGTGCTGCGGCCGGCGTGCTGTGGCCAGCTCACCATGCTGATCTGAAGCCAGGAGCCAGGTGCTTCTCCTGGTCTCCCATGGGGTGCAGGGCCCAAGGACTTGGCCATCCTCCACTGCCTTCCCGGGCCACAGCAGAGAGCTGGACTGGAAGAGGAGCAACCAGGACAGAATCTGGCACCCCGACCAGGACTAGAACTCGGGATGCCAGCGCTGCACGTGGAGAATTATCCTATTGAGCTGCGGCGCTGGCCTAAAGTGTAGTCTTGCATGGCATACATAGCTTTAGCCACCAAGGGACCCATACGTGGGTATCATGGGAGTCCTATAATATTATATTACCTAGTGACAATACAACCATCTAAATGTGTGTCAACACATACCATGATGTTTGCTCAACAATGTAATCACCTAAGGATGTATTTGTCAGAGCATATCCCTGTTGTTAATATAGTGTGTAACTATATTCAGGGGAATGTGCTGGTCAGTTATATTAACTCACTGTGACATTTTATTAAAGGGGCTCATGCATCTGTGGATTTTGTTATCTGCAAGGGGTCCTTTTACCAGTCTCCTATGAATATAGAATGATCACTCAAATTACATTTCACATACTTTATAGCCTAGTCCCATTTTACCTCTAGGGATTTTTAAAGTTAACTGGTTCAAGTATCCTCTTATTTTTACTTACTAGATACATTTCTGCCTAAAGTACTGATTTTTGCCCAATATCATATTTGCTCTTCTGGTAGTTAAAAAATGCTCCAGAGTGTGCGTTGCTTTATCAGGTTTATAAGAATAGAATGTATTTTAAACATCTGCTCACTGACTGAATAATTCAATTAATTTATTCAACCATTCAATTTTTCATTTGCCGAACATTTTTCAAGAAGTTTTTCTGTGCCACATATTATATAAAGTCTTAGGAATGCAAAATCAAGTAAGACCTGTCTCTCTTCCTCTTGCCACTATGGGAGGCAGCAAGTCAATCCTGGGTTTCAGTCCATGGTGAGGCAAGCTGCAGATAGCTTTGCCTAGCATATTGAGAGGCACACTGGAAGGTTGGAGTGGGGGACCCTCTAAGGGAGAACTGAATGGGGGGAGGCTCCCTGGAGAGCATACCTGCAAGAGCTTTTTTTTCTTACCTTCTGTCTGGTGCACACTTCTTGGGACCCTTTTGTAGCTCCTAATACATGTCTAAGTAAATAATAGGCTTAAATGATTAAAAAAATTATTTGAAAGGAAGAGAGAATGAGTGAGATAGTTTAATCGATCAATCTTCCATCTGTTGGTTCATTCCCTAAATAGCCACCATAGCCAGGGCTGGACCAGGATGAAGCCAGGAGCCAGAAATTCCATCTAGGGCTTCCACATGGCTAGCAGGGACCTAAGAATTTGGACCATCTTCCGCTGCCTTCCCAGGCACATTACTGGGGAGTTAGGTTGGGAGCATAGCAGTGGGGACTAGATCCAGCACTTCCACATGCCAGCGTCACAAGGGGCAGCTCAGGCCGCTGCTCCACCATGCCAGCTCCTTTCATGAAGTTTTTAAAAGTGTGTTTCTTGAGATTAGCCAGCTGGTTTAAAAGAATGTTGTGTTCTTCACCAGTTTTAGGCTCTGACCAAATTGAAATACTTGTGTCCTCTACAGATGATCAGTGCTTCTTGCTCCTGTTTTGTTCACTTCTCCTTGGGTCTGAAATGCTCTTCATTCCTTTCCTGCATAGCAAAATTATGTCTTTTTAATTCTTCTTTTTAATTCTTCCTTGATCTGGCTGTAGGCAACATTTCCTCCTCAATTCATAAAGTGGTTTATCAGTGCTTTCCTCAAGTACTGTTCAAGCTTACACTGATAGAAGATATTTGCTTGTTTGGATTTTCCTTGACTGGGCATCATTGGTCCTTGATGCCAGGAGTTTTGTATTCCCTGAAGGGCTTAGCCTTGTGTTTGCCAAAAGTAAATGGCCAATAAGGACTGGATGGAGTGAAAAGAGTGTAAAGAAAGCTTCTGTTTTGTTACTGGCATCTTTCAATGAAAATGATTGTCCCTGGCATAATTGAGAATGTTTTAGCTGTAGTGGACATGGATATAATAATGCTCTGTCTCCAGAGTTTCCATTTCTACCAAAGTTCTCTGTGTGAAATATCAATGTTCCAAAACTGTCCTGTACCCTTTTGAGGTAACAGCTATGTTTCATTTAAAAATAAATGATTTCACAGGGTTTACTTTTGTGCTCCATGACACCTCCATCCATATTTTAGTTACTTGCTGCTGTTTTTATGATGTGATATGGAAGAGCACTAAATTATATACTGGGGTTTGACATTGGTGCTCCACAGGACCCATAAAGCATTTTGTGGCCACTGTTGGCCTGGACTTGCTCTATTTGTGATCAGCACCTTTCCATTCTCACGTGCCACTCTTTTATAAAATCTTCCAGCATTGGGCCTGATTATTCTTTCAGCAGTCTCAACAAGAGAATTTCATTCTTTAGCTTGTATCATTGAGTACTGAATGGTAAGAAAGACCCAAATGTTTCTTTATTTCTGAATTTCCAAGACTGCTTGTAATTATTTAGTTTTGGAAATAGATTTTCATGTACGTTATTGGTGCTAAGGAAAAATCATAAAATAGATACTCTTGTATGTTTGTCATCATCTAAATTTACTGTTAGTTGTGTTTAAATAATAAAACACTCTTCTGAGTTGTTTTCCAGGAAGAGAGTTGGTCTGGATTTGTAAATCAGGAGACGGTTTTGGCTGTGTCTCCACCTGCTTTTTGATGCTAATGAGGCCCAAGCAGGGGCTCACTTATTTCTCAGAGGAAATCTTAACTCTTTGTAGTTATGTAAGAAGTTTTAAATAGCCCAAGGAGCTTTAGATTTTTGTAAAACCCATAGCATCCTCTACTAGGTTGGTGTCTACAGGAAATAAACCGCTATGTAATTAATTGCCTGAGTTAGAGTGATAGCAGAAGCTCTGAGACGATGTTCTAGTCACCAGTGCATGTGGTTTCTGCTACTATGAATTGGGGCTAGGAAAGCAATCCTATTTGGAGGTCAGAATATGAGGTCTAATTGTTTGGTAGTTTTGGAGGCCTTGGGATTTTAACAGTCTGGTATGGTAGGAAGATCTGTGCTGTGGGGTTTTTGGGTAGGTTTTACAACCCCACCTACCTTTTTGTCTCATTTGTCATGACTCATGGCTCACCACCATGCATCTCTCCTGAACTCTTGTTTTGGCTTTTCATGTTTCTTTTTCCACTACATGCCTTCGGATGTGCTATTTGCTTGGCCATAATGCCTTTCCTCTCTTCACCAGCATTGTAAATGTTCACTCCTTTCTCGAAGCCTAGCTTTCTCCTCCTGAATCTATACCAACGCCAAACCTCCTCCACCCCCACGAGCTTGTTTTTGCCACCACATGCTTTGTGTGCCCACTTTGTATTTATTAGCACAGGTACTCTGAATTATGCTGAGTTGTCTGTGTATGAATCTTCACATCTGCGTTGGGAGCTCCTCATAAGTACAGGTCTTGTGGTTGATTTTTCCATTGTTAATGCTTGTACTAGGTCCCTGTTGTTATTTGTCAAATAAAATGATAATGGAAGTGCTTTAATAGTTGGTAGAGGTTTTATCCCAGTGTTGAATATTTGGGACATGTGGTTGTAATTTTTCATTATGATAATTTTAGAATTCCTAAATTTAAATTATTAGAGCTTAAACTTTACAGCTTTTTTTTTGTTTGTTTTATTTTAAAGATTTATTTTATTTGGTTTAAAGACAGAGTTAGAGAGAGGAGACATAGAGAGCTCTTTGATCTGCTGGTTCACTCCCCAAATGGCTGCAATGGCCAGGGCTGGGCCAGACTGAAGCCAGGAGCCAGGAGCTTCTTCCGTGTCTCCCATGTGGGTATAGAGGCCCAAGTACTTGGGTCATCCTCCGCTGCTTTCTCAGGTGCACTAGCAGAGAGCTGGATTGGAAGCAGAGCAGCTGGGACTCCAAACAGCACCTATATGGGATGACATTCTGCAAGCAGTGGCTCCACCTGCTATGCCACAATGCAGCCCCTATAGCTTTTAAAATCAAGGAAAAAGTGATTCATAATAATTATATATTATGTGCCTTTAAAGTTTAAAATAATTTACACTTAAATTGTAGAGACATTTATAATTTTTCTCTCTCATACAGATACCAAGTACTTGCTTTTGCAACGGATGCAGATAAAAGACAGGAGACCGAACAGCAAAAACTTGGTTCTGGAAAAAGACTAGTTGTAAGTTTGTTCGTTCTTTCTTTCTTGTTATTTTTTATTTTTTTTTTTAGATTTATTTATTTGAAAGTCAGAGTTACACAGAGAGAGGAGAGGCAGAGAGAGAGAGAGAGAGAGAGAGAGAGAGAGAGAGAGAGAGAACTTCCGTCTGCTGGTTCACTCCCCAACTGGCCACAACGGCCGGAGCTGAGCTGATCTGAAGCCAGGAACCAGGAGCTTCTTCTGGCCTCCCATGCAAGTGCAGGGGCCCAAGGACTTGGGCCATCTTCTGCTGCTTTCCCGGGCTATAGCAGAGAACTGGATCAGAAGTGGAACAGCTGGGACTCGAACCGGTGCCCGTATGGGATGCCGGCACTGCATGCAATGGCTTTATCCGCTACGCCACAGTGCTGGGCCCATAAGTTCTTTTGATTATATAAAGGTTTCAGTAATGCTTTATCTAGTCTCAGGTGTTTGTTAAAAATATGAATTCATGGGAAGAAAATTTTAAAGATATGTTTTGGGGCATCCCTGTAGGTGCTGGTTTGTGTCCCAGATGCTCCTCTTTTAGTCAAGCTCTCTGCTATGGCCTGGTAAGGCAGTGGAGGATGGCCCGGGTTCTTGGAACCTTGTGTCTGCAATGGGTGCGTGGGGAAGGCTCCTGGCTCCTGGCTCCTGGCTCCTGGCTCCCGGCTTCAGATCAGCCCAGCTCCAGCCATTGCGGCCGTTTAGGGAGTGAACTGGTAAATGGAGGACCTTTCTCTCTGTCTCTCCCTCTCTCTGTGTGTGTCTCTACCTCTCAAATGAATAAATAAAATCTTTAAAAAAATATCTACTGGTTCATTCCGCAAATGGCCACAATCGCTGGGACTAGGCTAAGCTGAAGCCAAGGTTCAGGAACTCTGTGTGGGTCTCTCATGTGAGTGGCAGGGGCCCACATACTTGGGCCAATATCTGCTGTTTTCCCAGGTGTATTAGTCAGGAGCTGGATAGAAAGTGGAGCAGTCAGACTCTGTCAGTCTGATATAAGATGCTGGCATCACAAGCAGCAGCTTAACCTCCTGTGCTACAATGCTAGCCTCCAATTTAGGAAATTTTTTATTGTTAATTCTTTCAATATTCTGCTACTAACAGGCATGCAACCAAACATATAAGTAAAAAGTAAAAATTCATAGCTCACAATGATGGAATTAACTGAAAGACAAAAGTGGAAGTTTGATAATTTGAAAAGTAGTTTGAAGAAAACTTGTAAATGATGAATCTTCTGTTTAATGGAAGACTGATGATTGTGAATTTTTTTTTTTTTTTTAGATTTTATTTGTTTATCTAGGTACGCAGGTATAGATAGGTAGATAGAGATTTTCCATCTGTTGGTTCACTCCCCAAATGGCTGCAGTGGTCAGGGCTGTGCCGGACAGAAGCTTCGAGCCTAGAACTAAGTCCAGCTCTCCCATGTGGATACCAGAGGTCCAAGTACTTGAGCCATTCTTCACTGCTTTCCCAGAATGGGAAGATGAGCAGCCAGGACATGAACTTGCGATTATATGGGATGTTGGCATGCGGGCAGCAGCCTAACCCTCTGTGCCACAATGCTGGCCCCAATTGTGAGTTTCTTATGCCAAGAATCTTCACTAACAGTAAGACAAAATATAGAAGGGACTGAAAATTATGATGGAAATGGTGAAGTGAATTTGAGGACTCTCATGAAAGAAACTGAATGTAGAAATAGTGTGGAATTTAGAATATTAACGGAATCAGAACATCAGAGAAAGCTACAGAATTTTATGTACAGTGAGGTCTTTGTGTCCCTGGTTCTGCGTTGATGCTGAGGATTGTACTCTGTAGTTAAGCTTGTGATGAACATTACAGACATTTAAAAAAAAATCTTCATTCTGTAAGCAATGGCATGGAAAACTATTTACAGAAAATTTACGTGGTATTAGGTATTATACATAATCTAGAGATAACAAGTATACAGGAAGATGTTTATATGTAAATACTACACCATTTTTTACAAGGGACCATGCGTCCGTGGATTTTGATATTCTCAGGGGGTCTTGAAATCAGTCTTCCTCAGATACCAAGGGGTGACTGGATTCAGAAGCTAGGGGAGATGGTAGAAAGGAAGGTCAATATGCAGAGTCAAGACTGAGACGAAGGTATATTTTTCTCATTAGTGGTGAAAGGTAAAAGCCAAAGCACACAAATGTAACATATTTGACATAATGTGTAGTTTTGCATAGAATTTTGAAGACTGTAATAACAATGAAGCATGGACTTTGGTGCCAGATCTTGAGAGTTGTACTACCTGATTTATTTATATTTATTTGAAAGACAAATCGGCAAAGATATAAAGAGTATGAGGGAGAGAGATGGACAGAAAGGGGGACAGACAGACAGAAACTTATATAGAAAGAGATCTCTCATCCACTGGTTCACTCCCAAAATGCCTGCAAGAGCTGGGGCTCTGCCAGTTCAAAGCAATGAGCCAGGAACTCAATGCAGGTGTCCCATGTGTGTGTGGCAAGGACCCAAGCTCTAAGCCATCACCTACTGCCTCCCATAGTGCACAATTAGCAGCAAGATAGAATTGGGAGTGAAGCAGGGATTGGAACCCAGGCACTATGATATAGGATATGGGCCTTCAAACTGCATCTTAACTGCTATACTCAAACCCATACTTATATTTCCTTTTTGAGAAAGTTTGTTAATTTTGCTAAATCTGAGTTTTCTCATTAGAAAAATGGTGATATTATCTATTCTACAATCTTGTCACTAGAGAGATAGTATATATAAAGCAGGTGTTTTTCCAATATTAAATAATTGGGACATATATTTATTTTATATATACACATACATACATGTACATAGATAAACCAAATGGCTGGGTGATGAAATTTATAATGATTAGGGTGCTCAGATTATCCTTTGACCTTTTCCTCTATAGCAGTCTTCTTCCATTTGTCCCTTACAGTCTATGCTGTGGCCACAGGGAACTTCTCATTGTTGTGGTTGCTGCTGGGCTCTTCTTGATTCTAGCCTTCTGCATATGGCTTTCCTGGGTCTCGATCATACTGTCCTTTCCTTAGACATTCATTCACAGTTATTAATGAGTACCTCTGAAGTATTAATGAGTACGCTGAAGGTATATTCTGAAGGCCATTACAGTTGAGTGATTTTCCCATTCTATATTAGTTAATGAACAGGGTAAGAAATAGTGCTGAAACTTCCTTTTATTGCTTGACTGTCACTTGGCAGGGCTGTGCAACCATGGAATAGTAGAAGAGACAGATCTTAGCCACTGGGATGCTTTTGATAAGAGAGTTGCATGAAGATCTTTGATAACTGCTTATGTTACTCAGAGCTACTTTTTAAATTTTTTTACTATTTGTCCATTTCTAATTTAAAATCATTTTAGTCAGAAAAATATTTTATATGACTTGCATTGTCTCAGATTTTTGAAATTTCTCTTATGTACTAGAATACAGTCTTTTTTTGGTAAATGTTTGTTGTGCACCTGAAAAAAAAAAAACATGTATTTTTTGAAGCTGTTGGGTGGCATATTCTTTTCTTTCTTTTTTTTTTTTTTTTTTGACAGAGTTAGTGAGAGAGAGAGACAGAGGGAAAGATCTTCCTTTTTGCTGTTGGTTCACCCCCCAAATGGTTGCTATGGTCGGCGCGCTGCGCCAATCCAAAGCCAAGAGCCAGGTGCTTCCTCCCAGTGTCCCATGCGGGTGCAGGGCCCAAGCACTTGGGCCATCTTCACTGCCCTCCTAGGCCACAGCAGAGAGCTGGACTGGAAGAGGAGCAACCGGGACAGAATCTGGCGCCCCAACCAGGACTAGAACCCGGGGTGCTGGCACCACAGGGGGAGGATTAGCCTAGTGAGCCGCGGCGCCGGCCATGGGTGGCATGTTCTATACACGTCATTTGGGGTAAGTTGGATGATAGTACTGTTCGAATCCTCCATATCCTTATTAGTTATTTGGAGTGTCTATCAATGTTGAAAGGAGGGTTTTGAAATCTCTGAATGAAAGTGTGGGTTTTTCTGTTTCTCCATGGAAATTTATCAGCTTTTTATGCTTTCAAGTATTTTGAAATTGTTAGAAGGTACATAAACATTTAAGATTATGTCTCATAGGCCGGCGCCATGGCTCACTTGGTTAATCCTCCGCCTGCGGCGCTGGCATTCTATATGGGCGCTGGGTTCTAGTCTCAGTTGCTCCTCTTCCAGTCCAGCTCTCTGCTGTGACCCGGGAAGTCAGTGGAGGATGGCCCAAGTGCTTGGGCCCTGCACCCGCATGGGAGACCAGGAGGAAGCACCTGGCTCCTGGCTTCGGATGGGAGCAGTGCCGGCCGTAGCGGCCATTTGGGGAGTGAACCAACAGAAGGAAGACCTTTCTCTCTGTCTCTCTCTCTCACTGTCTAACTCTGCCTGTGAAATTAAAAAAATTATGTCCCATGATGAACTTACCCTCTTTTGTAATGAAATTATTTTTTTGTATGATTCTTTGCTCTGAAACCTACTTAATTCATTGTCACTATCCATGTAACTACTACATTTCTTTTGATTAGTGTTATTCTGGGAACTTTTGCTTTTTTACTTTTAACCCATTTGTGTTATCATACTTAAAATGCATATTTTTTAAGAGTATATAGTTCTATTTTGCTTTTTAACAATCCATTGTGATATACTCTACCTTTTAATATTTTTAAGACCATTTGCATTTCTTGTGATCATTTCTATGGTTATGTTTTTGTCTGTTATCTGACCATTTGGTTTCTTTTTGTCCCATTTGTTCTTTGTTTCTCTTTCCTTGTTTTCCCATTTTATTTTGGGTTTATTCAGTAATTTTTTTTTTTTTTTTTGACAGGCAGAGTGGATAGTGAGAGAGAGAGAGACAGAGAGAAAGGTCTTCCTTTTTGCTGTTGGTTCACCCTCCAATGGCTGCCATGGCTGGCGCGCTGCGGCCGGCACACCGCGCTGATACAAAGGCAGGAGCCAGGTGCACTCCCATGGGGTG